CAAAGGTTTCAGTGAGAGCGCGCGTAGGGCCGAAATACGGGTCATATGATAAAATGGAAAACCGCCTGCGAATTGTTAAATTTACTAATAAAAAAGAAATGCTCGAGTATCCAACAACAGCAAACGAGCGATGTTTTATCACCCTACAAATTCTGCTGGCAAAACGACTTAACTCTTCTAACCGTACWCGACTTAACTCGATGCACCATGGTCAATCAAAGTAAAATGTTGGAGTGGCCGCGACTTTCATTTGGAAAAATTCTTATCATGCGCACGGTCAGCACATAATCTTCCAGAAGTTCTGTCAGGCCGAGTTCCCCTCCWCCAATCATCGGATATCATAACTAATTGTGGGACATAACTATGYGTACATTTAAATAAACCTCCAAACTAGCAAAGTATTAGAAGCGTAGATTTGTCAAAAAGAAGTAGTCAATTGTATGATCTCAATGATCTCAAGTTTTCATTGATAAATAAGTGTGTATAGTTCTTACCAAGCTGAGTCCCAATACTGATACGCAGTGTCCAATGGCGCCGGGATTTTTGTCCCAAACTTTGTTTCCARAGCACGATGAACTTCAGCGTTCAAAAAGTTCTTCTTGAGGTTAGAGATGTCTCTCCATCGTCTGCTGCAGGCACCGTCAGCGTACATGGTGTGAAGAACACCTTCACCTTTGGTTCCTTTTCCTCTGTACGAATAAAGATGAATAAAGAATATTGTTAGATTGCATTGAAAGTGCTTACACTTTAGCATTCTCCACGGCAAAATTCATGACTAGCAAAGTAGCCATCTGCGTAATGGAACATGTAGACTCATCGATTGGCTTTGGAAGCTTTGCTCCAGGAATTCGTCTTCATTCAACGAAAAACACTCGGTTTTAAATAGAAATTCTGACATGTCGCAATTATAAACACCGATTGTATCACTATTTAAAAACAAATTCGCGTCACTAGTAACGATCCCAGAAGCACTTGAGAGATAAACCTGACTCATTCCCCGGGTCTTTTTTTTTCAAACCTAGGACAGTTGTATGACCTTTTGGTACCTACGACTTTACAACGTTCACACGTTAAAAAAGATTGAGAAAATCTTGCTGTTAATTTTACCATGACGTAAAATACTCGTACAGACATTCATGCGAATGGATGCATGCATGGAGAGTGACACTGGGGCACTAAAAAATGTTTGAACATACATGGTAATCACTCGATTGATCCATTGTGCCCCTTTCGCCCGGATCATAATAATACCTTGGATGTTTACACGATAACGCATCATTACCTGTGAGCCATGCTTATTCCAAGACAATTACTCTGCGAGATGAATTTCTGTCCAGGYTTAACGGGTGATCCTCCAATATATACTTTCTCCCACCAAGCGTTAGAGTAAACTGCTGCCCCTTTGAAGGCTGGGATTGGCTGAATTGAATCAAACTGTGCTGTTCTTTGAATCTTCTTTGCAATGGTACCGTTCACTTTTCGGAAGTGCAGTGGAGGGACAGCTACTACAAGCTTTTTAGATCTTACTCTTAGGTTTGGTGTCAGTGAAACATAAACACCTCCTTCTTGTATCATCCCTTTGATACCAGTACTCGTGAAGATTTTCCCTCCCATAGACTCGACTTTCTTTTTCAAGGTACTAATGATAGTTGACATTCCACCTGTTGGCCTAAAGTATTTATCCGACAGCTTAAGGGTCATTTCTGTGAATTCCATGTACGATTTTGGACTGATGAAGTCCGTGTAATCACCTTTGTAGCCATATAACTCGGAAAGGTACTCGGCACCCTCGGGTGTGATCAGATTAGAAAAGTATGTATCAACTGTTGCATAGGCGTC